ATCAACCAAGAGTTGGTTCTGGTTAAAGGTAGCTGTCCTTCCTCTCTTCTCCAAGAGCTCCTCCTCCTCCTCCCCTGAAACAGTTTGTTTTCAATCGGATGTTCTCCCCTCTTCCCTGGCCCGTGTGTATGGATCCCATGACCCCTCAGACAGTTCCTTCTGGAACAAGTTCTCCTCTCCTCCCCCAGCCAGCCCCAGTTGGTTCACCTTTTCAGGTTCTGGGGCTAGGACAGGAGGTAAGACGTGATTGTTTCCTCATTGGGGCCTGCGAACTTTTTATACAAACCCTTTGATCATAAACTTACCACAAAGAAACCAACTAGATTGTCCTCCAGAACAGTTCTATTAGACATTGTTGAATGTCCCATAGGGATTCTGTGGCTATAAATCTTTAAGGAAAAAGATGACCGGAATTTTTTTCCCATAGAGCAACTTGGGGCTTTAAACCTTCAACATTTCAAATAACTCCTAACAACTGCAGTGGCCCACAGCAGATGATCAGTACATATCTACGGGATTAAGGAAGGGAATGAAGAGGGGCACACCCTCACCCAAGGAAAGCAGATTCCCGTAAATCTCCAGCATCACCTCCTTGTACAGATCCTTCTGCTCAGAGCTCAGTCTCCTCCACTCGGACTTTGTGAAGGCGACGGTCACATCCTTCAAAGTCACAGGTTCCTGAAACGAATCAACCAACATGGAACACATATCACCTTTTCAGTGAAAGACGTTTAAGACGTGGGTCTACAGCATCAGGCTCGAAAGGTATTCAGCTAAGCCTTTCAGAGAACAGAGTTCACCAAAGAAATGCTGCTGACCATGGCTGGATCCATGGCCTTGGGACATCTATGGGGAGCATCCGTGAGGCACCAACCACAACCTGGGGCTGGAACGTGTGTCAGGTCACGGAGAATGTTTAAGTCAATCTTACAACATTAAAAAATTAAAACTCATTGTCGTCGAACCAACTGGGACACACAGGGACCCAACAGGGCAGGGTAGAACAGCCCCTAAGCCTTTCCAAGACTGCAAATTATTTTTTTACTTTCATAAATCATTTTACGGGGAGCTCTTACAGCTCTTACAACAATCCATACGTCAATTGTACCCAGCACATGTGTGCATATATTGCCATCTTCATTTCCCAAACCTTTTCTTTCTACTTGGGCCCTTAGTATCAGCTCCTCCTTTTTCCCCTCTACTCCCCACCCTCATAAATCCTTGATAATTTATAAATTGTATTTATTTTCATATCTTACACCATCTGCTGTCTCCCTTCACCCACGTTTCTGTTGTTCATCCCCTGCCCAGGGGGGTTGTATATCAATCATTGCAATTGATTACCCCTTTCTCCCCTTTTATTCCCCACCTTCCCCCTACCCTCATGGTATTGCTACTTCCTTTAGAGGTTATCTGACCTGGATCCCATGTGTCGGGAGCTCTTATCTGTACCAGTGTACATGCTCTGGCCAGATTTGTAAGATAAACTGGGGTCATGATAAGGAGGGGGGAGTTTGGCATTAAAGAACTAGACAACGGTTGTGTTTTGTTGGTGCTACAGTGAACCTCGGCTGGCTCGTCCCTTTCTTGTGACCCTTCTGTGAAGGGATATGCAGTTGTCTACAGATGGGCTTTGGGTCTCCATTCCGACCCCTCTCATTTACATAGTAAATTCTTATTGGACTAGAAATCCTCATACTTCTCCTGCACGACCACGTGTGGCTTCACCTTGTGCTTAACAACCCAAAGTATAACCCTGGACAGCACTGAGGCTTTCCTTCCTGTTGCAATTAGGCAGTAGTCAAGTAAGTGCATTCCAGAATTTATAATGGAGGGATTCAAGCAATGGGGGAGGGGGGGGTCTAGGATGGGCTAGAAACAATGGACAGCCTCCTGCAATTGGGACCTGTGCTAGGAGATGAAAGGAAACTTTCTAGAGAAACGTGGGCTTGTACAAAGGGTCCTGTGAGGAGCAATGCTAAAGAGATCAGGGAACTCCATGGGACCGGAGACTCACTATCTTTAGGAGTTTTTAATCAGCTCTCCAAATAGAGTTCTAAACACTTCAATCATCATGCAGAGTGGCAGCTCATAAAATATAATCCACCTGACACAATAGCAGAAAGAGTCCAAACAAAGGAAATGGACAGACAGTTCTATCACCATGGTTGGGCTCACCCAGCGAGGGCACGTCACAGGTCGATTACCTATGCACTCTCATCACTACTGGTGGGGCCAGACTACAGGCAATGGTGCACCTGCTCAGGGGCAGAGGAAGGCAGCGCAACCCCATGAGCTGCCCACAGCTCCTGAGGTTCCCCACTGGCCAAGGCAGAGATGTCCTTCTCAGTCCACTGGCAAATCTGTAACCTGCTGGTGTGCAGCCACTCAAGGCTGCGTGAGTGACTGGTACATCTGTGTATCTGTGTGGGAGACTGGGTACTGCGGGATGACACGTTATCGCTGGAGCCCAGCACGAGGAGATCAGCTCAGTGTCCTTTTGGTACCAGCCCCTCCAAAAGGGCACGGGCTGTGGTCCGCACTCCTTTATCCACAGTTACCATTGCGCACAGACAACTCAGTCTGTGGAAATCACAACGAGTAATTGAACTGTGGCTGTGCCGTCCGTTTAGAGTCAGTGTTGCCCAGATACAGAGGAGACTCAGAGACTCTCAATGTTTCTGAAGCAGACGTCCTCGCCTTCCACTTACACAGCTGACGGTCGGTTCAAAGGCTGCTTCAAAGACATCAGGATGGGCAATGCAAAGGGTCGGTTAAATAGATTTCTGAAAAACCCTAGCGAGGACAGGCGAACAAGACAGTTGGAAATGGGGATTAAACTTAACAATGGAGAGGACGGTCCAAGGCTGGGCAGTATTTCCATCCGTTGGCCATGGGGTCTCAGTGGGTTGGAGCTGACTCAAGGCCACTTCACCACCACAACGGAGGTAGTTCCACTCACCATGATGTGAGGCTTCTCCTTCTCCTGTGGGAGCCAGTTAGTAGACTTTAGAAAGCAAATCTACAAAAAAGGAAACAAAAGCTATGAGGTTGGACACCACCCACAATGCTCCCACAGGGAATTCTCTAGCTTGGGCTACAAGGAAGCAGTCAATGTACTCAGTGGTGGCCACCAATCCATTCATCCTCAACATGGACTTTCATCCCCCTAGTCTCTTCTACAGACCCTCAACCACTCTCACCTTCTCCTTTCTGTCCCCAGCCCATTTCTTTATGGGTTCTGCACTGCCTCCTGCCTTTGAAGATAAAATCTTCCCTAAGGTCTGCTCTTCCTGGAGAGAAAACGGATCAAGCAGGGTAATGGACTAGAGGAGGTCAAGTGACTACCTTAGTGTTTGGGCCGGCTCTGGTCTGTGTGCTTGGGCCGAGTCTGGTCTGTGCAGCCCCTTCCCCCGACTCTCAAGGCCAGAGCTGGACTGTGCGGCCTCTCCCCCACATTCCAAGAAGCTGGTCTGAGGATTCAGATGCTGCAGCTGCAGCACCAGGAAGCCTCCCTTCTCCTTATCGGCACAAGCACCAGCAGCTCTCTTCACCTCATTTGCATATCTCCCTGACCCCAATCCCACAAATGTCCCACTGCCCCACCGACGGGGGTGATTTCCCTAACTCACTGAGTCTCGGAACCGCCCGGGGGCTTTTTACCCTAATAGCGCTGCTCTTAACCTCAGGCTCTTTGTCTCCATTCCACCTTCCTTCCGTGTCTCCGTCTTTCACCTCTCAGTAGGCAGGGTTCACAGGGAACAGGACTTCATCTTTCAGTCTTGCACTCCCTGGAATCTAAGGATTCACAGCGATTCAAAATGCCCTCCCTTCCCTAGTCGGATTTGTTTGCCCAAACTCCAGGAAGTTGAAAAGGCATTTTACCGCAAGTGGGCGGGGGGGGGGGGGGGGGCGGCTGTTATATTTCGGTTTTTAGAAAGCTACCTCCCAATCGGGCTATACCTTCACCATTTGATTAACAGCAAGGGCGTTGCGGAAAACCAAACCTCCCCCTCCCCTTCCAAACCCAGACGCAGGTGGCTAACCGGCAAATCCCAATGGAAAATCCCCCAGCTACTCCCTCCCCAAGACCGGGACATAAAACTCTACCTCTCGCCGGGACAGGGCGACGCCCCCCCCCCAAAAAAAAAACAAAAAAAACTAAGGATCCGTGAACCTCGCCGGGGAGCTCTGAAATAAAACTTTAATATTGTGTTCCATCTTCGCCCTTTCTTTCCCTCCATCGCCACAACTACTTTACAAAAACCCACTGAGAGCTGCAAACAGAGACGCAGAACGGAGATAGAATTCAGCCAGGAATGGGAAGTTACGGAAGGTTTTATTGAGGCAGGAAAAGCACTCCAGGGCGGATTCCACGACCCGACGAGCTCCGTCAAGTGGCGCCTGGCAGAGAGGCGATGGGATAGGTAGAGGGTTCGAGCCAAGGGCAGATGTACTGATAAGGGGGAGTTTTTTAGCGCTGCAACTGCAGGATGTGAGTCAAGATGGGGCCTGGGAGCAAATCGTCTTGCTTTTTGCAGACTTGCTTCTCGGAATGCTGGGGGCCTGGGCTGAGGGTACCCCGCCCGCAGAGATAAGCTCCTTGGAATGCTGGAAGCTGGGGCTGCAAAATCCAGCAGGTCATCCGTCTTTCTGAGAGGCTGGGGGGTAGGGGCTGCCGGGTCCGGACCCGGCCCAACCAGCCCTGTGATTGCACAACATGCGCACCAGAAACCTGGCCTGCAACACACGTGCCGAAGATGGACTGCGATAACAGCCCTCAAATGCCTCTGACCAGTCCGCTTGCAGGGACTCTGCTGACTGTACCCGCAGAGCGTTCAGGCGGCAGGGTCTGATGCGGTCCCCCTCACGTGCAGGCGTTTGTCGCTTAAGAAATACCTGAATGTCACCTGGAGTCGCTGGTCTCTTTGCCCAACCCCCCAGGGCTAAAGCTCGCTCGCACCCCGGGCTCGCCGCGAGCTCGCGCCCCCGAGTCCGCTCTCCCCGGGCACGGCCGCCCCCAGCCTCACCGCCTCCTTCCAAACTCTGCCACCGTCCACGCCGCGCGGGCCACCGTGCCCGACCGGAGGTGGCCGGTCCGAGTCGCGCCTGGCGTCCTTAAGAGTTCAAGGCTGTGTCCACGCCTCCCCGACGCCCCCCTTCCCGCCCCCAAACGCGCCCTTTCTCTTAAATGCCAAGCCAGCCAAACCTCTCCGGATGCTTCCGCCTTGGTCGCGGTCGGGGGAGAAGTGCCTCCGTCCTTGGCTTCGCGAGAGACGGAAGTCGCGAACAAGTGAGTTTACAAAGGACAGAAGCGGCCCCGACGTGCGGGCCGCGCCGGCCGCGCCGCTCTGTGTCCGCCGCCGGGAGAGCGAGCGGGAAAGAGGAGAACTTCGGACTGCGCAGGGCTCCGCCCCCACCCCCGGCTGGGAGGCGTGGTCAACGGGGCCGCTTGACCCCATTGGCTGGATCAAACTCGTCCGGTCTCGCTGGGCCAATCCTGGTGTACCGCCCACCCGTGTCCCACCCCTTCCCGGCCGGGAGCTGGAGCTCGCGGCTCTTGCTGCGCTCGGAGCCTCCCAGGCCTGGGACCGAAGGTCGCGCTTGCCCGGTTGCTTTCTGGAGCCCGCCGGGAATTGCTCGGACCCCTCCATCGCCCAGTAAACGTTCGGTTCGGAGCCCCCACCTCTGAAGGAGGTGATGGAGCCTGGGAGCCAGACAACCAAGGAGGACTTCCGATGGCGGCCCTTTCACGGAGGGCCACGTCCCCGACGCTTCCGGTTTCGGTTCTGTTGGACCGAGCGAGGAGGCTGCAGGAGTGGCCTTGCGGCGCTTTTCCCGCTGCTTGGAGCTAGTTTCTTGGGTTTACACTGAAAAGGAAAACCAGACATTCCTGTGCTCGCTGCTCTGGCTCAGAGATCCCGCAGGCGCCAACCCTCCCCTCCGCCTAGGGCGCCCGCAGGTATGAACAGTTCAGAATTCCCACCAGAACCCGAGGAATTGCCAAACTTGTACAAAGCCTCCGGTAACCACTCTTGCTCCTGGGTCCACACCTTAAAAGCAGTGCTTACTGCCGGCTTGGGGCCCAGAACTTTAAAATTCGAGTTCCTCGGTGTTTGGGCCGGGTTCGGCCCAGGCAGCCCCTGCCCCCAGCCTCTCAGAAAGACGGATGACCTGCTGGACTTTGCAGCCCCAGCTTCCAGCATTCCAAGGAGCTTCTCTCTCCTGGCAGGGTCCACACAGTCCCTTCCACTAGCATTCTGAGAAACAAGCCTGCAAAAACAAGATGACTTGTTCCTGACTCAAATCCTGCAGCTGCAGGATTAAAAGCGTCCCCTCCTCTTACCAGCACATAAGTCCTTGGCTGGAACCCTATATATACATCCCTCCCTGGCAGAGGCGACTTCCCTGACCTAGCTCCTTGGGTCCTGGAATCCACCCAGGAATTCTTTCTCTGCCTCTAAAATCTTTCTCAACTCTACATTTCTGTCTGAATTCTATCTCCGCGCTGCTTCTGTTTTCACCTCTCCCTATGTAATCGGGCTAACTAAATCCTCTTCCAGTCTAATAACGCGACCTGGTCATTCCCGCGCCAGAAAATTGCTCTAACAACACATTGGCTTGGTATTCAAAGACTCTTGAAAGGATGGATTAACGCAGTACAAAGGGCACAAACAACCATTGTGAGGATGGAGCAGTGTCCCAACCAACTCAAAAGGCACCCAACACTCCTTCACTTACACCCACACCCTGTGAGGCGATTGCTTGCCCTGATGCAGGAAGATAAGGATTCCCAGGGTTGCAACCTCCTGACAGAAAGAGCACTAGTCTTTCCAGTTTTTTGTTTAGACTAGCCTGTCTCTGAGAGTTGCAAAGGCATCCTGTTGTTGCAGGTATGTATTCTAGGAATTCTAGGCAATTCTAGGAATTCTAGGCAATTCTAGGAATTCACTGGGCAATTCTAGGAATTCACTATGTTGAAAGAAGTGGCTCTACTGTCCTTCATGGCTCTAGCCATTCCAACTGGTTGTCCAGGGTTAAATTTTTGCAACCCATGAGTAAACAAAACAAAAATAAGCCATCGTGTCGAATCCAACAGTACAATGTAGACTCTAGGACAGAGCTGCTGTAACTATAAGCAATGGGAGAGACACTCGTCTGGTACCCTGTTTCCCCGAAAATAAGACAGTGTCTTATATTAATTTTTGCTCCCAAAGATGCACTAGGTCTGCTTTTCAGGGAATGTCTTACTTTTCCATGAAGAAAAATATGATACACATTTATTGTTGAACAGCAAAAAAAGGAAATGTATTACCTGTATACGGTACAGTAGTAGTTGTCATCACAAACCAGCATAACTAGACAAACTAAATCCTACAGTATCAAGAATTTCTTGTTACTCCCATTATTTCCATGTACAACAATCTATGGTACATTTGCTCATTTATTCAATGACAATCATGTCATCATCTTCTGGAACATCATCATAACAATCCAAACCCTTATTTTCGGGGAGGTCTGATTTTCAGGGGGGACACCTTATATTCCAGCCAGAGGCAAAACTATAAGTAGGTCTTATTTTCGGGGAATGTCTTACTTTTGGGGAAACAGGGTATATGCAGAGAGCCGCACAGAGGTTGCTATGTGCTATAAAGGTGACTTTGGGGAAATAATGATACCTGTATAGTCATAAAATTATTGAGGGTGGATTAAGGGAACTATATAACTCAGGTTAAAAATATATATATATATACCAACTGGATATTATTGTGCTTATTTTTGTATTGCTAATAAAATATTTAAACTTGGGAAAAAAAATTATTGATGCTTATGATCGCAACAAGACAAGCTTTCTTCCATCAGAGAATGATAGCCCCTTCCTCTCCCAGACACTGTCCACTACAATCTGCTAAGAATGGCTGGAGAAGGCAGCAGCTCAAGTGGAGTCAGTTCCGACAATGATCATGTCACCTTCCACCCTGAACATTCCACAGGTCAAGCCTCTGAAATCGACGGGACAGACCTTCTTGGGTGTCAAATTTGCTTAGTCTTCCATCACTTCTGCTCAATGAGACTCCTGGCTGAGGCTGCTGTGTGGGAGGAAGGTGGTGTCACGAGTGGAGATTTTACTCACAGTCAGAACCTGCCAGGGGACTGGAGGACAGGAGATCCTACAGCCACAAGGAAAAGCTTCACTGGATCCAGTTGAGCGTGCCATCACTTGCTTCACTCATCCAAGGGGCCTTCTCCTAAGGATGCTCCCCGGGAAAACTCCTGCTCTCTGCCTGGACCTTTCCTGCTTCGTGAAATTGACAACTGCAGTTGTAGTGAGTTATGTCCACCCACCTTGAATCTAGGCAACTTTGCAGTGGCCAGCCTATGATCTTCCTGCATTCTGCATCATTGCATGCGACTGCATGAGTCTGAGGTGGGACTTGTGGACTGGTATATGACTGATGGACTTGAGTTGGATTGGACTGAGAGTTTTTCTTGATATATAATTACTTCTTGATACAAAGGTCTTCCTTAAACTCGAGTGTCACTGGATTTGTTTCTCTAATCAACCGACCCTAATCAGACTCTTCCTACCTCTTTGTCTCCATCCATTGCAATCCAATTGCCAATAAGTATCCACACATCTTGATTGCATGTTTCAGCAACCTCAGAATGAAGATATCAAATTAATCAATGTCTTTGTATTTAGGGGGCTTGGGGAGGGAGGAGAAAAATGAGGAGCTGATACCAGGGCTCAAGTAGAAATAAAATGTTTTGAGAATGATGGCAACAAATGTACAAATGTGATCAGAGTTGTATTAGTCCCCAATAAAATTATTTGTAAAAAAGTTTTTAAAAAGTATTTGTATTTTGTTTGGGTGGGGTCCCGACCATGAAGCCCCTTGCACCAGGCTCTCGAGAAGACAAATGACCTGCTGAACTTCAAAGCACCTGCCTCCAGCATTTCACAAAGCTTCCCTCCCAGGCAGAACACAGCCTCCTCTCCCTAGCATTCCAGGAAGCAAGTTTGCTGAGAACAAGATGATTCACTGACAGGTCATCTCCTGACCCAAACTTTCCAACCACAGCACAAAGGACCTCCCTTCACACTTACTGGCCCATATGCCTTTAAGCTCATAACATGTATATATCCTGCCACCCTAGCACAAGGTGCGACTTCCCTGACCTAACTCATTGGGCTGTGGAACCCACCGGGGTCTCAAGATGCCCCCTCCCTTTCTCTGCCCTCCCTTCCCTCTTAGGAGTTCTTTCCCTGCCTCCATAAAATCTTTCTCAACTTCACATTCCTGGCTAAATTCTCTCTCAGCTCTGCGCCTCCGTTCCGCCTCTCATAGTTAATGCATCCATTTGAATCGTCGTAAGGTAGGATGTCATTGGCTATGGATGTAGCTTATCACAGAGAACTCTGTACTTCAAGATCCATCTTGAGATGTCTTTTTGACTCTGAACGTGATCCCATTGGTCCGGAATCTGTCGTTCCTGCCGTAGGACCTCATTCACTGGTTGATTCCAAATGAAGCGTACCATTCCTTCTCAGCTCACTCATTTCTAAGACAATGGCTTTTGTGCTTACCATTTCATTTTTGACGACTTCCAACTTTCTCGGCTTCAGACTTTGGTTGTGACTGCTTGCTCTGATTTCGGAGTCATTCCCTATGCAAAGGCACGGCTTTCCTCCATCAAGGTCTTTGGGATCACTGTACTTTGGGGAGGTAACGCTTGCCCAGCAGTCTTTTGAGACCCTTCCAATCTGAGGGGCTTATCATCGGTGACTATTGTGAAGGTGAAACTGAGGTACAGGGAGACAGACAGACATAACTGACAGGACAAGGGAGAGCAGAAACAGAATTAGCTGTATTAGGGGGACCTAGGCCAACAGGTCAGGGAAGTCATGCTCAGCAGCTGGGGTGGGATGTCAGGTCTTTTAAAAGGATGGTGAGGAATGTATGGCAATTAGCATATGGGGTCTGGAAACTCTGGAGAGTTACTTGTCGACTCCTTGTGACTTTCTTCAAACCCTGAACATCTGGCTTCACCGGTTATCTTATCTGGTGCTGTCTGCTGTTGACCTATGGGGAAGTGCAGGGCCCTGACCTGCTTCAGCTTAGTCCCAACAACTATCTCTGACAATCTTCTGCTGTATCTGATCATGCCCTGCTGCTACTCATAGTTCTCTGTGGCTAGTTCCTCAAAACTGCGTCTCTCCCTAGAAAGCTGCGGTTATCTATCTGCAGGGCCTAGCTGCACCCTTGCTATTAGGAGGGTATG